CCCGCTCCATAGCTCCACGCATCACTTAATCGCAAACACATCTGAACCTATGACCTCATTCAAACGGTCCTTTCACGGCTGGAACTCTAAACCCAAGTGTCTGTGTGGCAAAATGTAAAGAATATTTTGATCAATAGACGAGAACCACCCAGTATTTGGCCTGCACTATTCTGATGAAGTGATATGAAAGCAGGACAGCTGACAGGGGACTGCTGGCACGAATCACCTCTACACAATGAAAATAATAAGAAATGGAAACACAGGGAACCAGGGCGTAGAAGGGATGAGAAGAAACCACTGAACCAAAGGGGATCAACCTGACGACGCAGCACTGCCACCTACAGAGGGGCAATCAAGTATTTGGTCAGGAACCATTTGAGCAAGTCCTCCCACTTAAAAAAGTTGAGGGATTCCACCATAGGGATACCTCAACTCTGAGAGACAAAATGTGAAAATTATCTGAAAATTACATATTTAGTCAAAAACAAAAGTCCATCCCAATATGTTGTTACCCTTTGTTGGAAATGACAGAGGTCAAGGGTTTTCACAGAATGTTGTTTATTTGGCCCATTCCTCCAAACAGATCGCTTCTTGGGCAATAATGTTTTTGGGAAGTTGCTGGGCGACACAGACTTTACATGCTCTCAGGTCACTTACCACTAGTTCGCTGGTTACCTGAGAGACCTGAGTGATTTTCTGTTGGGTTGAATTCTAGAGACTGGCTAGACCACTCCAGGACCTTGACATTCTTCTTACAAAGTCCATCTTTTGTTGCTGATTCAGAGTGATTGGGATCATTGGGCCTCATTCACGAACGGTTCTTAGGAACAGATTTGTACGTAAATCCTACTTACGAGGTTTTTACGAAGAAAGTGGCATTCACGAATTTTTCTCGTAACCAGAATTTCTCTTTGGCAAGTACAAATCCTACGAGTCCTCAGGAGCACTCGTACGCGTTCAGTGCCGACATGTTCACACGCCGGGGTTGTCCTCTTTGGTGAAGTTTAATAAAAATACAACATTCCAGTGATATGTCCGTCATATCGATGTATGTATTTATTTATTTGTAGTAATCTTTATTAGTAATCTTTATTTATATACCGCCTTTTTCACTGCAGATCTGGCCTACTTTTTAATTCATTTTGAAATGAAATGTGCCAACGCTTTATCAAATACATTGGAAATCTTGCCGTGTATTAGTGACCCCTTCCTATTTATAGGGGGCATTTCTTTATCCACGGGCCACAGAACAACGGCATATATACTGCTGCTGCAGGAGGTTACTGGGTCCGCGCTGAGTCTCTGCGCTGGTCTCTCCCATGGATCTATACGGGTCTGCACTGGTCTCTCCCATGGATCTATACGGGTCTGCACTGGTCTCTCCCATGGATCTATACGGGTCTGCACTGGTCTCTCCCATGGATCTATACGGGTCTGCACTGGTCTCTCCCATGGATCTATACGGGTCTGCACTGGTCTCTCCCATGGATCTATACGGGTCTGCGCTGGTGTCTCCCATGGATCTATACGGGTCTGCACTGGTCTCTCCCATGGATCTATACGGGTCTGCACTGGTCTCTCCCATGGATCTATACGGGTCTGCACTGGTCTCTCCCATGGATCTATACGGGTCTGCGCTGGTGTCTCCCATGGATCTATACGGGTCTGCACTGGTCTCTCCCATGGATCTATACGGGTCTGCACTGGTCTCTCCCATGGATCTAGACGGGTCTGCACTGGTCTCTCCCATATACGGGTCTGCACTGGTCTCTCTCCATACGGGTCCGTGCTGCATGCTCCTGGATCCATACGGGTCCGCGCTGGTCTCTCAAGTCTGGTCTATGCGGTCTCTCTTCGGTCCGCGCTGGTCTCTGCGCACCGGTCTCTCCAGTCAGGTCACTCCAGTCTATGCGGTCTCTCCTGTCCGCGCTGGTTTCTGTGTGCTGGTCACTCCAGTCTCTCCTCGGGTCTGCAGTGGTCTCAGCGCTGGTCCGCGCTGGATCTCCTCCCAGGGTCCAAAATATTTTGAGATTAATCTCAAAATATTTTGAGATTCATCTTTAAAATAATACATAATATATTTTTAAATTAAGCTCATAACATTTTGAGATTAATCTCATCATATTCTTAGATTAATCTAATAATTTTGCTAGTTCGACTTTATTATCATAATATTTCGACTTTTAAGTCAACATTTTATAACTTTATTCTCAGTCTGGCAAAAGAAGAAAAAAGGGTGACTCTTTTGCTCCGTGTAACTCTTTGCTTTAGGCCTGTTGCTGTTTCCTCTGCCGTCTGCACACGGCCCTGCAGTCCCTTATATGGGCATTAATGGGCGGTTACTTATGCTAAGTACCTATGCTAATGAAGCACCTGGCACGCACGCTCTACTTACGAGGAAATGGGATTCATCAATCTGAGAGAACAGCTGCGAACAATTCAGCGGCTTACGAGTGCGTTGATGAATCCCACGTAGGGACTTCTTAGAAATCTACTTAAGGACAACTTGAGGAGAAATTTGAGAAGTTTCTTACGAAGTTATTCGTGAATGAGGCCCATTGTCATTCTGAAAGACCCAGCCATGTTTCATCTTCAATGCCCTTGCTAATGGCAAGAGGTTTTCACTCAAAATCTCCAAATGTATTGGTCCCATTATCTTTATGCAGATCAATCATCCTGGTCCCTATGCAGTAAAAACAGCCCCAATCTTGGTGCTTCCACCCCCATACTTCACAGTAGGTTTAAAGCCATGACAGGCGGATCGGTGCAGCGTGCGCAGGGATGCGGTCACTGTATCAGACCGTTATGGTAAAGAGGGAGCTGAGCCGAAAGGCAAAACTCTCAATTTACCGGTCGATCTTCGTTCCCTCCCTTACCTATGGTCATGAGCTTTGGGTAATGACCGAAAGAACGAGATCGCGGATACAAGCGGTCGAAATGAGCTTCCTCCGCAGAGTGGCTGGGCGCTCCCTTAGAGATAGGGTGAGGAGCTCAGTCACACGGGAGGAGCTCGGAGTAGAGCCGCTGCTTCTCCACGTCGAGAGGAACCAGTTGAGGTGGCTCGGGCATCTGTTCCGGATGCCTCCTGGACGCCTCCCTGGGGAGGTGTTCCGGGCACGTCCCACCGGGAGGAGGCCCCGGGGAAGACCTAGGACACGCTGGAGGGACTATGTCTCTCAGCTGGCCTGGGAACGCCTTGGGGTTCCCCCGGACGAGCTGGAGGAAGTGTGTGTGGATAGGGAAGTCTGGGCGTCTCTGATTAGACTGCTGCCCCCGCGACCCGGCAACGGATGAAGCGGAAGAAAATGGATGGATGGATGGAGGTTTGAAGCCTTTACACTTTTCGCAATGTGTAAGAAATTTACTCGTCTTGAAAATATATTATTGTACTACCCCATTTCAGTATTCTTTAATCACACAATGTTTTCTTATTTTGATAAAGATTTGACAAGAATTTGAGTCAAAGCTGATCAAGTTATTTTGAATCTAGCTCCACGGCTCAAAATATTGTTTTATCGCAAACACATCTGAACCTAAGACCTCATTCAAACTGTCCTTTCACGGCTGAAACCCAAGTGTCTGTGTGGCAAAATGTAAAGGATATTTTGATCAATAGACTAGAACCACCCAGTATTTGGCCTGCGCTATATCTGATGAAGTGATATGAAAGCAGGACAGCTGACAGGGGACTGCTGGTACAAATCAACTCTACACGATGACAACAATAAGACATTTAATCAAAGTGAATCAGGCTGTTGAAGGGATGAGAAGAAACCACTTAACCAAAGGGGGTCAACCTGACAACGCAGCACTGCCACCTACAGTAAAGTATTTAGTCAGGCACCAATTGAGCAAGTCCTCCTACTTAAAAAGAGATGCCTGTAATTTATATCCTAGGTTTACCCTAGACACAAAGATTTTATTTAGTCAATTACATGAGCCCATCTCAAGGCTTTGCTACGTGTATATGTGCTTTGTTGGTGATGACAGAGGTCAAACGTTTTCCCTAAGTCTTCACAAAGTTTTCACACACTGTTCCTGGTATTTTGGCCCATTCCTCCATGCAGATCTTTTCTATAGCAGTGCTGCTCTGGGGCTGCTGCTGGGAAACACCAAGGTTCAACTTTCTCCAAAGATTTCTAGAGGGTTGAGATCTAGCCTGAAGCATGATGTTTCCATCCCCATGTTTCACAATAGGTCTGTAGCCTTTACAACAACTTGTAAAGTCCATTACTCTACCATTTTTATGTATTTTGAAACAGCTTTGTTGATTGTTGAAATTGATTGTCATGATGCTGACAAGCAGATCTTCTCTGAACCAATCAGAAATCATTAAGAGCACTGTGAAGTTCAAGGCCTGTTATGTAATGCTATAGAATATTCTTGCAAGCAATTCCTAACAAAAAGTTGCATGCAGACTTTGAATAGCTGTATAGTGCTTTTTACCACTCCTATCTTAGATCATGACCTATTGTCAGCCAAGTGGGAATACTACATTATCGAGCGGGTTTGAAAGGTGATCTTATCAACAATACATTAAATGTGAGTTTGAAACGATACAACTATCTTGGGATTATCCTTTCTTTCTGAGCATTCACTGCCAATTGGTGAGAAACCATAACATGTATTGTTTTTCAAAAAGGGCCAGCAGACTTTGTTCTCACACTACCTTTGTATTTCCCTATTATTTTCTATATAGGACATCTTGATTTTTATCAGTCTTTTGGGAGTGGGAAGTGAATGCCATGGTTGCACAAAAGCTTTTATGTTTGAATTATTCCGTGCAACAGGACAATAGAAAATAGGTTTGCATGTTGACATAAAAAAGTTGTTTGCTCCATGGAATTTTCCTAAAACAAGTGGTTGGTTACCTGATGCCTTTGAGGGTGAGGGTGGAGCTTATGTGTTTTGGTGAAATATTGAGAAAAAAGTGGTCTCTGGATGCTTATAACATTTCAGACAGAGCAGAGAGATCCACAAACTCACTTTGTCTTGAGAAGAAATAACATCAACCGTAAGTACATAGTAATTCAAATGATAATTTACTTAATCTTATAATACTATTATAGGAGATAGGCTTTAAGGTGGAGACATTTTGGAAACATTTTACAGTTTTTTTGGACCCCGTTTGCTTTTGGTTCTAGAATAATCGACTGTTGGGATCTTGGGCCATTGAGATGAAAACTTTAAGCCAATATCAAAACATTTAATTTTTAATGATTTTGAAATTATTTACATGTACTTGTAAGGTGGTGCTTGAGAATCAAAAAATATATATATTAAAAACGTTTAAATCCCTCTATTTACATTTTATTTTCACTCTTTTTTGTTTTTTGTTTTTTTTGCCAAAATATGTAAGACAATATTAGATCGAGCATGTGTCTGTTGCATGGTGAAATGTATTGACAGGTGAGTAGGAGTGACGTTTTCACAACTAGGGCAACTTTTGGCAAGTAAAAAAAGTAAAATCCTTGCAATATCTCATCGTAACTATCATTGTAGACCTGGTGTTTCCACAAGCCTCTGCCTTCGCCTGTAGGGTAGATTTTGAATGATTGATCAGTTGTTACTGATTATTAATTTATTTTCTCTTCCCTGATGTATGTTCCCAGATGACAGTATTAATCATTCGCCTCAAAGTCTTTGTGAAAAGTTGATGCAACATCTCAGAAAATCGTTACTTCAAAACAATCAAATGAATAGTCGAGGGGTAGAGTAGTGCAACTGGAATTGTAATTACTATTTTTTGTAATTTAAATACAAGTACGTGCACTCGGAGAGCACCCGACAACACCACAGGTCATCTCAAAATGTTATTATAGGGTCTTTCTACCGTCAAATCTTCTTCTTACCAAATTTCAGCTTATTTGACAAAAGTTCACATATTCACAGTTAATTAACTACGTGAGCTTGCCAAAGTGTTGAACAAACAACAGTGAAAACACAGCAATTACTGTAAAACAGGCTTTTACTAAAGTATTGAAAAGCTCTGACAAACGCTGCATCTTGAGATTTAATGTATCTATGTTTAAGCATTTCCTGTAATTGTATTTCTAGAGTCACTCAAATTGGCCAACTATGTAACAAAAACTAGTTAATCCACTCGTTCAATATTTTTGCACTAAATAAATACGCAATGTGCTTTATTTCCAGATGAGTGTGGAGTCCAGTTTATTCCTGCTGGGGGCGCTGTCTCTCTTTGCTCTGGTGCAGGGCCTCACACTGGAGGAGTTGAAGCTAGAAGCATGTAAGTTCACTTGAAAAAGAATTGCACTCTGAACAATGCTTAAAATCAGATCAGGCAGCCCATTACTGTTGAATACACTGCAGAAAATTACAAAGTATAGTTATGAAAAGCCTGAAGTAAGTAAGCTACTAGTCTTTATATTGCATTGATTTGACTATTTTAACAAAGGTCTAATCAAAATCGAGTCAAAGGCCATATGATACATGTAGCCTAATTTCCTCATAGACTGTATAGATAGACATAAGTGCTCTAGTTTTGTTCCAATAATCACTCCGGCTTCTATTGACTCTCATAAACTCCTCTAGCTCTGCAACCATTTGTGTTTTGTTCTGTGATCCTGGTGATTATTTTGATCCAGATATGTGCCTTGACAATTGACCATTCAGGAGTCCTCTGTTGCCGAGTTAGATCCGTGGCTTTAGCACGCAGTACCGCTCCTGAATGGCTCTCGGTAACTCGACCAACAACATTTGCAGACCTTCAGCTCCACATTTCTGCAAAAATAACCTGTTCAAGCTAGCTCTTCCACATGAATGCTAATACTATGGGTGACATCAGCACTCTGACAGTCCACTCCTAATTTACAGCCTAAGGTTTTCCTATTATAAATGTTTGTTCCCCCTTGTATCTGGGTGGATTTCCTCCTGGTGCTACGGTTCCAGGGCAGTTGTCATCATCCTGTTATTTTTGTGTGCATTCAGTGTCTTCAAATAACGCAGCGCTGACGTGTGGGGCTAATGAACTGAACTGTGAGTGTGCCTTCAAAAAGGAGAAAGGCTGCTGCTGTGGAGTGGAGGACCTGTACCAGACGGAGAATGATGTCTATAGCCGTCTGAAGGTTCTCTACATGAAGATCCAACAACTCGAGACTCAAGTGCAGTCGCTGACAAGTAAGTCTGGTTTAAGAAATATCTCAGATTGGATCAATTTCACCAGATGTATGGTTGTTTCAACCAGTGTAGTTGTAGTTATGCACCTGAGGTGTGACAGGATCAGGCTTTCCCAGCAGGTGGCACAACAATAGACAAATACATATTTTTTATATAGAGCTAATGAAGACAAATATTGGTCAATCCAACCATCAACGGTTTCACCAACTAAATTGGTAGGCCCACAAGCAACAGATTGATACATGGTTAATCCTCCGTAACCAGTATTGGCTTAACCAACTAGAATTGTCATTTTTTATGTTTTAGAGGGCAGACCACAACATAATGTCCTAATCTTTTTTTCTCTAAAACACATTCGAAATTCAAACTGAATCTGTTTGAGAACCCTTTGGAGCACGTACCAATTGCTGAACTCTACAGCTCTGTAAATTTAGCCTCTGAGGACTCGTCTACTTAAAACACACTGAGAAAGATCAAACTCCAATGTCCGATTACATTTTCCATGGTAAATATAAAGGAGGGTATAGTCGGAGGATAGAATAACCACATTCTGGGATTTAACCACCCCCCTTTTCACAGCTCATTACAATAACAATTGTTCCTTGGACCACTTGATTTGATGGTTCCATCTTATGGTTTTAAATTGGCAGCAAAAAATAAAACATTGAATAAAAAGTTATCAAATATGTATTATTTGAAGAAACAAACAGCAAAGGTGAGGAACACATCTGTGTTTTATTTGTATTTGTTTGTAGTCTGAGGGGTTACTTTTTTAAGTAAGTAAGTAAGTAAGCTTTATTTATATACCGCCTTTCACAGACCAGAGTCACAAAGCGGTTTACAATTATTATTTTATTTATTTTTATTATTATTATTATTATTTTATTATTATTATTTTTTGGGCACTTGTCCTCTCACTCCACACAGAGACAGGAGCGGGGTCGCCGAACAGGAGGCGCATGCCAGAACTATTGTACATATTTTTAGTGGTAGGGGAAACCGGAGTACCCGGAGGAAACCTACGCAGACACAGGGAGAACATGCAAACTCCACTCAGATAGGCCCTGGTCCGGCCGGGATTCGAACCCAGGACCTTCTTGCTGAGAGGCGAGAGTGCTATCCACTCAGCCACCGTGCCGCCCAATTTTTCCAATATGGGCGGTAATATTTTAACAGAATTATTGTTTTAGTTTAGTCTTTAAAGTGGAAATGTATGTTTTGTGTCAGCTCCTGCCAACTTGATCTGAATGTGTGTGTATTTTCTGCTCTGTAGCTGAGGGGAAAATCGCGTTCCAGGCGCGTCTGGAAAGTGGTGTCGCTGCAGGCTCTTGCTATGGGCCCTTCAACACCGACGTGCCCATCCCACTGACAGACGTCCTCCTGAACGACGGCAACATATACAACAAACACCTGGGTAAAGAAATGGTCCTAAACTTGGGAAAAATATCTATCTATCAGGTACTACTAAACATGAGCTGCTCAAGGAAATCTTCATTAAAAGGTCTTTATTAGTTGATAAATCCAACATGTTTTTACCTCAGTTGGTCTTCAGTTGGTTTTACAATAAAATGTCTACAAGACTTTAGTGATGCTTTAATCGCTTTAAACATCAACGGTAAGTAAGAATACTGTATATAATGTAAAATTACTTACACATTTATGGTACGTCTATAGTCATTTCTGAGTATAAGAAACATAAACATGCAAAAACATAACAATTATCGGAAAAAAGTGTAAAAAGACAGAATATAGGCAATTCTGTTACGAACTTACAAGATAATTTGAATAAGATAAAAGAAGAAAAAATAATATTTAAAAAAAATGGGCAAATAACAATGCAATTGAGAAACACATACATTTATAATTGTATTCATAATTGTTACTCTTTCTTCCAGGAACTGCAACTGCACCAAGGAAGGGCGTCTACCTGGTTTCATTCACTATAAAATCAATGGTTGGAGAGACTATTCTCCTGTATCACAAGGTAACATATAAAACAAATTATCGTCAGATATGAGCTCTTCCACATGTACAAGAGCTAAAATCACACAGAGAAAGATAGATGGATAGATAGGTAGTTAGATAGTTAGATAGATACTCCATTGTTCCCCCGTAAGAGAAATTCAGGTGATATTACTTAAGTGAGAATCCCAATGCAAACGACTGTAGATTAATATGTGCCTTGACAACCATGTTAAATTACAGGTTCAATATCAGTCCACTTAAGGGGTCACCATAGCAACATGCAGATTGAGCACAAACTTGTAACTCACAGATTGCATTATGAAGTAACTTCTACAGGTCTTTTATCCACTATTATCCATTACGTTGCCAAGCAGGCTAAATATAAATCTTTTTGTAAATGAGTCAAATAGGCATATCATTGCTTATTCTCCTTGGTGTGTGCCTTTTCATTTTGGTCATAACAACGGTTGCTAAGGAGCATTATTTTAAGAGTGCAGAGTCCAAAATATGTATGCTTTCTGATTTGTTTGTGAGTGTTTTGACCATGGTATAAACACAGATCAAACAGTTACTCATTTCACTAAACTACAAATTGTATGACTGTTAAATGCTTGTAAATAATTTCTTTAAAAATCTCATACATTCAACATCCAAACACATAAAGTAAAAACCTCAGGGGGGGGTTATGTGGCTAAATACTCTTAATAAGATATACCGTATGTTGTCTGTGTCTTTAAATTCTGAACTGTTGATAGTGGTTAAAATAAATAAATGTGCTCTTTTAGGTTGACCTGATGGTGCAGGGAGAGCGTACAGTTTCTGTCATGGAGAACAACAGACAGGATGGACTGGACTCTGCCACTCAGGTCTGTCATGACACATTCTCAATCACTGCTATGCAAAAGAAAATATCTTGAATTCAGGATTTAGTCTTACATTAATGCTTTGGCTGATTTTAAGATTTTTCTAATAATAATTTAGATTAAGTTTCTCACTCACCAGATTCATTCTTATTTTGGGTGATGGGTGAAACTTATATTGTTCAAAAGTTAATTTACTGTATCTCTGTGTCTCAACTTAAAATGTGAAACCAATCTATGATATATAGACACATTACACACACAAAAACACATTTTGACTGCCTTAAAACAAGATTTGCCAACGGGACAAGAACAATTACCTTGTTTTAAAAAGATACAAGAAATGTCTCACTTGGAATGAGAAAATAATGAAACAGTTCTGGAAATAACACTGAATGGCTTTGTCCCATTGGCAAATGTTTTAAGTCATAGTGACACATACCGAGCCTTTGTTATGTTGATGATTATGGCTCACGGTCCATGTCAACATTATAACAAATCACATTGTAAGTTGAGTTACAGAGGCAAATGGACTTTGGAACACTGGGCCTCATTCACGAATAACTTCGTAAGAAACTTCTCAAATTTCTTCTCAAGTTGTCCTTAAGTAGATTTCTAAGAAGTCCCTACGTGGGATTCATCAACGCACTCGTAAGCCGCTAAATTGTTCGCAGCTGTTCTCTAGATTGATGAATCCTCTTTCCTCGTAAGTAGAGCGCGCGTGCCAGGTGCTTCATTAGCATAGGTACTTAGCATAAGTAACCGCCCATTAATGCCCATATAAGGAACTGCAGGGCCGTGTGCAGACGCCAGAGGAAACGGCAACAGGCCTAAAGCAAAGAGTTACACGGAGCAAAAGAGTCACCCTTTTTTCTTCTTTTGCCAGACTGAGAATAAAGTTATAAAATGTTGACTTAAAAGTCGAAATATTATGATAATAAAGTCGAACTAGCAAAATTGTGAGATTAATCTAAGAATATGATGAGATTAATCTCAAAATGTTATGAGCTTAATTTAAAAATATATTATGTATTATTTTAAAGATTAATCTCAAAATGTTATGAGCTTAATTTAAAAATATATTATGTATTATTTTAAAGATTATTCTCAAAATGTTATGAGCTTAATTTAAAAATATATTATGTATTATTTTAAAGATGAATCTCAAAATGTTTTGAGATTAATCTCAAAATATTTTGGACCCTGGGAGGAGATCCAGCGCGGACCAGCGCTGAGACCAATGCAGACCCCAGGAGAGACTGGAGTGACCAGCACACAGAAACCAGCGCGGACAGGAGAGACCGCATAGACTGAGAGACCTGACTGGAGAGACCGGTGCGCAGAGACCAGCGCGGACCCGTATGGATCCAGGAGCATGCAGCACGGACCCGTATGGAGAGAGACCAGTGCAGACCCATATATGGGAGAGACCAGTGCAGACCCGTCTAGATCCATGGGAGAGACCAGTGCAGACCCGTATAGATCCATGGGAGAGACCAGTGCAGACCCGTCTAGATCCATGGGAGAGACCAGTGCAGACCCGTATAGATCCATGGGAGAGACCAGTGCAGACCCGTATAGATCCATGGGAGAGACCAGCGCAGACCCGTATAGATCCATGGGAGACACCAGCGCAGACCCGTATAGATCCATGGGAGAGACCAGTGCAGACCCGTATAGATCCATGGGAGACACCAGCGCAGACCCGTATAGATCCATGGGAGAGACCAGTGCAGACCCGTATAGATCCATGGGAGAGACCAGTGCAGACCCGTATAGATCCATGGGAGAGACCAGTGCAGACCCGTATAGATCCATGGGAGAGACCAGTGCAGACCCGTATAGATCCATGGGAGAGACCAGTGCAGACCCGTATAGATCCATGGGAGACACCAGCGCAGACCCGTATAGATCCATGGGAGAGACCAGTGCAGACCCGTATAGATCCATGGGAGAGACCAGTGCAGAGACTCAGCGCGGACCCCGCAGCCTCCTGCAGCAGCAGTATATATGCCGTTGTTCTGTGGCCCGTGGATAAAGAAATGCCCCCTATAAATAGGAAGGGGTCACTAATACACGGCAAGATTTCCAATGTATTTGATAAAGCGTTGGCACATTTCATTTCAAAATGAATTAAAAAGTAGGCCAGATCTGCAGTGAAAAAGGCGGTATATAAATATAGATTACTAATAAAGATTACTACAAATAAATAAATACATACATCGATATGACGGACATATCACTGGAATGTTGTATTTTTATTAAACTTCACCAAAGAGGACAACACCAGCGTGTGAACATGTCGGCACTGAATGCGTACGAGTGCTCCTGAGGACTCGTAGGATTTGTACTTGCCCAAGAGAAATTCTGGTTACGAGAAAAAATCGTGAATGCCACTTTCTTCGTAAAAACCTCGTAAGTAGGATTTACGTACAAATCTGTTCCTAAGAACCGTTCGTGAATGAGGCCCAATAATCACATTTTCTGAGTAGTAATTGTACGCTTGCATATCTATCATCTATACATCTATATCTTGCATATCTATACAGTCTATAAAATCAAGTATTTTCAATCATGACCAAATATGAAAATGTTGCCAGGTGTCAAGCCATCACATGGTATTCAACATGGTTTTGTTGTGTGGGGTTTTCAGATGGTGACTCTCCTATTGAATAAAGGAGACCAGGTTTACCTACGCCTGGTGTCGGGGCGAAAAATCTGCTCAACTTTCGGTGGAAATTTATTCAGCATGTCTCTGCTCTTCACGGTCGATGATGGCGCCGGTACGACCCCACAGTAATCACAGTGGACCAGGTCTGTGATCCAAGAGTTTCTATATAGACCATGACAACACTGCTAGTTCTGCTGTAACTGAGAAATAAAAGATAAGCAAAAAAAGACTTTGGACTTTTTGTGTTTTTTAAGACCCATATGAACCCATTCTAGTGATTTTAAAGGAAAAGAGCAGAGGCAAGGTTCTGCAAATATGGTTTCTGATTATCTAGAAGTATGTCCGTTTATCAGTTTCAATGGTTTGGGAATTAAAGTTGCTTCAAGGTCCGGAAGTAAAATCCACCTTTCTAAGAGACTGTGAAGCCGGGTGGTCTCAAAGATGTCCGCCCATTCAGATCCATGGCCTGTGCGTTTTTTTGTCAGTTCAGTTTAGTTCAGTTAATTGCGTAGTATAGTGTGCAGTGGTTCAGAATCAAAGTAACATGTGAGCATTTTGACCAATCAGTAAATGCACAGATTGGAGTGGACCTATAGCGAGACTAAAGTGAGCCAAGTTTGTTGCACAGAAGTATGTGTTTGTAGAAATCCAATGAATTTCAGGAGAAAAAAAGTTAAGGATGACAAGGGGCCACAAAATCCGACCATTGAACAAGCGGTAGGTTCCCTGGCAGCTGAGGACGATCCGTTTTAGTAACTTTGAGGCCTTGGAGAAAAACTTCTTTTCAGCCCATGTACATTTAAGCTGCAGTGCTGCTGGAGCCTTGGAAAGAGTCAAAACTTTTAACGTCATAATTACTATTGCAACAGCATCATCAGTAAATAAATAAATAAAATCAGTCCCCCTTGGAATAAGAAAATAAAACAACAGTTCTGGAAGTTTTATTTGTATGTATTTATTGATTTTTTTGATACAAGTAAACACAATCAACTGAGTTTGTTTGTCCCGGTTTACAGTTTTTAGATGGACAGGAACACAGCGTTTCTTTCCTTCAACATAATCCCTTCACTTTGACACTTACGGCCGTCGTCTCCACGTTACACTGATTTTAAATGGTTTTGGCACGAGATAAAACAAACTCTGGTTTCTACGACTTCAGTCACACTGAGAGGACGGAGAGGCCATTGGTTCTCAAACTGTGGTGGTAGTTCATTCCTCACTCAGTACAAATGCTGTTTTATATTTGTGTGAAGAGGATAATGAGCAGAAGGAATACAAAACTACAGATACTGTATTACATGTATGTCGTATAAGCACAATGTCTCAGGATATGACTGTTCTAATGTATGGAAAGACCCCATTGTTTTCCCAGAAAGTTGAAGGTTGCAAGCTGAAAACTATAGCCTAAAAAAAAGTATACATAAAAAACAAAATTCTACAAAATAAAGCATGTAAAAGTTACACGTTGTGATTTTTTTTTTTTTACTTTAATAGTAAACAAGCTATCATTTACACACTGAGAGCTGATTGGCTGAGTGAGGGTACTTCTTCTTCACTTCTCTGTCTGAAAAAACAGATTTTCGAAAGAGTAGATGTGGATTTTTATAATACAGAGTTAGTTTTTGTGGATTTAAAGTTAGGTTTTCCAGTTTCAAAGGGAATTGCCAAAACCTGGAAACGTTTCTTAAATGACTAAACATTAATATTGTCTATTGGGAGCTCTCATTTCACTCCACTATGAGGAAGTATCACATGTCGGTTTTTCACAGTTAAAACGTTTTGTTCCAATCCAAACTTGGCCAGAGACACACGTCCACTCTGCTGTTAGCAACGTATCATTAGCCGCCACTTATTTCAACACAATAAACCTCTTAGTGTCAATGCACAGCTTTGTCTGCTCTGGATTTTGATTGAATGTCATGTGAATGTGTCTTTTGCATCAACAAATCTAACGAAGAGTACAACCCACCAAAGGAATCAAAGGCGGTCATGAGTGAATTGCATTGTTTCTGTAAATGTTCTCTTCTATTCTACCTTTTCCTCAGCTTAAAAAAAACAAATATTTCCCCTGAAAAACAATTATAGTTTGTTTGAAACAGCTGTGTTGCTCTGCATTGTCTGAAATTAATAAAGAAATAAACAAACAAGCACATAAATATAATAAATAGAAAAATAGAATACATTTTATTGTATATATTCTAAATACATTATACACACACAAAAGTTTCTTATTTATAGTTTTCACATTTTATTTTTTCTAGACCAAATCAATTTCACATTTTGGATTTGAATAATATGAATAATGAATTATTTTTATACCATTTTTGGCTAATACTTCACCAACACTTTATTCTTTATTGTCTACTATGTATAGCTTGTGAAAAAGTAACTTGTTTGTAAAAAAATCCCCCTTTTACATCAAAACATTTTCTATTATTATTATTATTATTATTATTATTATTATTACTATCTATTCTGGGACTCAGACTCTACAGATGAACGCCTGATAAAGAGAAAACCTATATTTGTAAATAATATTTTCTCACAGTTTAAATCAAAAAGATATTTTCAGTCACGTTAATTGGACCTCAGTATTTTAAGAATCCGGCCTCACCTGTCCTCAAGCCTCAGAGCAGATGTAGCCCCTCCCCCTGGACTTTAGACCCCGCCCCCTGCTGTGATCTTAATGACGCGGCTGGTCCTGTCCCGTCCCACTGTGAACGCTTGTTTATCCTGCGCTCCGTTATTAGGGGATCACAAAACAATGGTGGTTTGTATAATTATTGATGCACACTTAAAGAAGCTCCAGGCCTCACACTGTGGCGTTTGCATGTCTCTCTCTGCGTCTGGGTGGGTTTGCTCTAGGTGCTCCAATTTTGGCCATCTCGGTTGGCCCCAAGGCAGCTGCGGCTGAATAAAACAAAAACACTTCTTTACTTTGATGTCTTTATATACTTAAAAGATTATCAATTATTGTGTCTCAACCTTATATACCATGCCCAATCTAAGAAAGATTACTCACTTACTTACCATCCCAGAGTCTACATTCCATTAAAAAAGGAAACAGGCCTAAATCTTTATAATTATAAAACACATGAATATATAGTTCCAATCTAGTCATTTTTCTCATAAAAAAATAAAATAAAATTGTATTCTTGTATCAGAATCAGAATTATTATGTTATTGCCATTGTGAGTAACAGAAAGTCTCAAACTATAGGAAATTGCTTTGGCTCTCAGTCCAAACAAGAAATAAAAGTAAAAAATAGAATCAGGCATGCATAAAAATAAAAAATCTACAAGACATATCTTAAAATTACTACTATATACACATAATAAACATTTAGCAGAGCAAGTGACAGTAGCATTACCATGTGTTTTTTTTTCTTCAACACTGGAATCTCTGGGAACGATATAGTCTTATTCAATTCCAGATTTGAAAAAATAATAATAATGATTTTAGACAAAAATTGAAAAATTAAAGGTTACAAAATGCACAAAAAATGCAATTCCAAGTAACATTTGTATGTACTTGTGATCATGGACTAAGAAACTTCTCAGAGACTGTAGATGAGATCAAGCTAATGAGTCAGGTCTATAATGAGCATTTCTTTGTTGACTGAAACCTGCTGAGATAAAAAGCCCAGTTCCAAAAATGCCATTTCGGAGCACAAAGGCTTCTGGGAGTTGCAGTTTGTGTTGTGGTCTGGAGCATGTGGCAGGACAATGGTGGCGTGTGTGTTTTGACTCAGGGGGTGTGGGGGGGCTGGACTGTCCCGCTGCGGCCTGGCATGGACCCCATCACGTCAGGATTAGACCCGGATTATAGACCCATGTCCGGTCTGGTCTACAGCCAGCTCAAAGCAGCTGGACCTGTTCAGACCTGGTTAAGTCTTATTCATGTCATAAGTGACCGTTTATTGTTCAGGGATAACGGTCTCCCCTGGGTCCACTTCCACCTCTCTTTAAACTCTGCAGGCCTTCTTTTCGACTAAACTGCACTTTCTCCACTCGGAAAAGCTCTGTATTCACTGATATGATGGTTTTATTGATGCCTGATATTACCCGACTGACCGGCTCTTGAGACATAAGTAAGTAATAATCATTTATATAGTGTTTTTCCACACATGAGAGTGGGATAGTCATACAAGAAGCACAAGCCAGACCTATTGTGCATGCTTTTAATGGTTGGGGAAACTGGAGCATCCGGAGGAAACCTACGCAGACACAAGGAGAACATGCAAACTCCACACAGAAAGACCTGGAGGTAGACACATGGACAATAACATGTATTGCTAAGGGGCAGACGTGTCATAATGTCACTGTAGTTTTTTGAGGTTATCTTAAATTCTTTATCTCACACCAGATCAATCTTACAATTCATTATGAAAATCCTATTTATGTTCAATTGTCCATATTGACCAGAATGTTTTGAATCTAGAGTAGCCAAAGAAACACAGGGAGAACATACCTGCGTTTACAAACACCAAGGAGTTGATCCCAGGATCTTCTATCTGAGAAACGAGAACGCCAACCTCTCCAGTTATTTTTATGTTTATTTATTGACAACAGGCATAATAATTAGGGTTGGGGGCCTGCTGATGCTAATGATAGAGTATCAATGAATAAGTAATGAGTATACCTGTGTGTATATAAAAAGAGTATATACAGTATGTGTGCACAGTGCTGATGTGGCCTGTGTCCCAGTGTCTGCAGGTGGGCCCCTCCCTCAGAGAAAACACTTCCCAAACACAAAGAGCTAGTGGGAAAAGTCAAATCTAAAGGCGTCATGTGTCCGAGCTGCTGCTTTCAGCTCGTGCCACGTCTGCTGTTCCTTAATTTAGACCTGGATTAACTTCGAGCTCAACAAAGGCCGGGTCTGAATCTAATGTCGACACAAGCGAGGAATCGACTTCGAAGATCTTAACACTGTTGGAAAATATTTCCCTTGTCTCAAAGTTGTTTTCTGAATTCAAGCCAATTCTGCTATTAACATTTAGTTGTATTGTCCTCAAACCAGTGGATCTTTTCTTGGAATTTAAGTTACACATTTTAGTATCTGGTAATAATTATGTGAAATAAGACTAGACAGCTTCATTGTTCCATTCTGGCTTTGTTCTGAATCTGTTCTGAATCCACAGCAAGAAGGTCCTGGGTTCGAATCCTGGTCAGAACAGGGCCTTTCTGAGTTTGGGTTGGAGTACAATAGGAAAAATCCTCCAGCTCCGATAGTCCTGAACAAGCCGAGTATCAACATTTGTGACTTACGGCAGTACAGGATGGGCAAATTGCAGCTGACACATTTCCCCATGAGGACAAGTATAACTTAACTGAAGTGAGCCGAGTCCAGTTGATGATGTGAATGCACCAACACCAATCACTGCACACTAAATGTTTATGTGCATCAAACAGGTCACTAGTCTGTTTTCCTGCAAAGCTAGAGCTGGACTCTCTGACCTCATTGCAGATCTTGATCCCAATCTTGTATTTCACTTTTGACATGGACAATAATTTGTACAAAACATCTGGTCTATTCGTGTGGTGTCGTTAATGTTTGAATAGAGGAATGTGGTCTCAGTGCATTAGTGACACTAATCACTTCTACATTTAAACCAACACATTCTTTGATTATACTTTAACTTCATCTCAAGTTTTGCAAGATATTTTACCTACACATTTACAGTTTACCATTAAAACCTTGCATCGTCTAAAGCCGGTGTCTGCCTCATGTTAAGCTAAAAATACGTTTTTCTTTCATACAAACAGAAGCTGTCTTGTTTAAGTAAAATGTTGTAAACAAATGAGACCACAATATGCCGAGTATGATCTTAAAAGAAAATATGTTTTATCTTTTACATATGTTGAGATGTAAGATAGCGCCAGGACAGAGACGAGACAAGGCGGAGGCAGACATGGCTACTTTTGCAGATGATCCAAGTATGTGAAATATGAGGCCAACAATAGAACAAAGCAGTTCTGAGAGCAAGAATGTAACTATGGAATGGCATTATATCGCAGAATTAAAACACAATATACTTAATATATTGCAATATATTGTTACTCAGAATTATATTGAATTGTGGCCCAAATATACACAAGTTTTTGCCAACTCCCTTTTACAGTCTATGCCCCTAATACAGATCTAACTGTGGCCCAGAAACAAAAGCAGAGAAAGTCATATGCTCTGATCATGGATGTATTGGTCCTGATGGCTTTTGGAAGTCCCGGCCCCGCCCCTTGCTGCTGATTGGCCAGTGCGCCTCTGAAGCCTTCACCTGCGCGCGAGTCTCCCACAGAGGCGCACGCGACTCTCCAGACAAGCACGCGAGTGGAGCGTGGACCCGCGTTGACGCACACACGCACGGCGACGTAGAGGTGAGATCCACATCATTCATTCAAACAGAGGTGATGCATTTTATACACGTTTTAAGAGATACTCACTCTTTTTTTCGATGCATGCTTCATAAATAAGTCCAGAAATTTCAGTTAAGCTGCGGTAACCACATAGAATTGATTGATATGTAATATAATGTATAAAAGTTACTCGTTCTCAAAACACGTTGGTTCTATCCCTATATTTATTATTTTGCCTGCATGTATTATTGGCATTTTGAACAACTTTTTTGTTAGACTAGACGTGAAAAAAGAGAGAACAGCCAATCAACTCTTTGACAAAAACTGCAAAATAGTCACAGGGCTTTTTCTAATAAGAGAAAGGCAGCATGATGTGGTCTGATTCGTATAAAATGTTACTTTCAATCTTTTTTTCTGTTAGATCAAAAAAGTTTCATATATTGATTTTTCTTTCCAAATTTACTGAGCCAAAAAGTTAGCTGCATAAAAATTTACTCACTTCAAATAATGAGGGTGATAAGTGTACAGGTTCAAACCCATAAGCAATACTTTGTGGGAACTTTAAATAAAAAATACATAAAACCTTTGCATTTTTTTTTTCATTTTCCATCACAGTCACAGTGTTTCTCAGTATTCTGGAAACCAAAAATGGATGTTGATCTTGGTTAATGTTCTCACTCTGGTTCTTTACATGCAGGTTACAATTGGGCAAATATTACACTACACATACATATGATCTTATTTTGTTGAGCCCTTTGAATTGCCTTATGTATAAACTGTGCTATACAAAAAACTTGCTTTGCCTTTCATTACATTACTTAACAGCCTTACTCTGTGGCTTGTACAAAGTTTGAATACAATAGAAAATTAACGACTAACACATTTCCGCCTCTACACAAATCCATTTACACTCCAAGTATTTGTATGTGTTCATATGACATAATCTACCTGTTTTCTTTGTCTTCTTTTTAGAGATTTTTTGAAATATTTTTCTTGTTTTGGTTTTACTGTCTACTCAATGGAAACTCTGGTGTCATTTTGTCCTGGCCCGAGTCATCACGAAGATCCGGCACTATGGGGTGAGTATATAACAAGCACTGAACCAGACCTAAACTTTGTATGAGTTTATACTAATTTCATACTATTTCAAAGGTTTTAGTTCTGCATCAAGTGTTCTCAGGATGAAACGTCTCTAAAAATCCACTAGAGGTCACCAACTCCAAACACATGCTTTTATGGCAGCTCATGACCAAATCTGTTTCTTCAGAGTTGAATGGACGCCACATTGAGCTTACATTTCAACAACAAGTTTCCCCTTTAACTTTACTTTAGAAAAAATCTCAGACAATGTCCTCGAATGGCTTTACATTTAGTCATTTTTCCTGAGTGTTAGGATATGATGAATGTCAAATACTGAATTATCGTGCCCTTATGATGGTGCATCTTGGCCTTTATCCAATAATATTAATGCCACTTTTTAGGACACTTTAAGACGCTTCAAATTCATTCACTCCATACAAGGTGGTGAGAAACTACTACTGTCGCCACAGCTGCCCTGGGGCACACTGACAGAAGCGAGGCAACCAGTTAGTGCCATCGGCCCCTCTGACCACCACCAACCATCCGTGCACACATCAGACTCATTCAAGGAAATGTGGGTAAAGTGTCTTGCCTAAGGACATGACATCAGTTTGGCACTTTATAGCCACCCAACTGTTCCCAGAGGTCTCCCTTCACAGTACTAACCAGGCCCTTCCATGCTTACATCTGACAGGATCTGGCTTGATGGCGTCCACAAAACACAATTCAAAGTGCCTTTCAAAACATTTACAAAATACCAAAGGAAACACATAAACACATGTAGAGTAAATAGTAACCATAGCTACCAACTGTTTTAACATTGATTCATCCCCACCGCTGTCAGACTGTACAATAAGTCACTTTGATGACCGCAATAGGACTGAATTTTTAATTTTACTTGATTGCACATAATATATCTTGCACAAAATAACCTATATTTTAAACCTTTGGCGTGGGAAGAGGTAGTAGGAGTTAGATTGGGAACATTATTGGATGAGGGAGGGGAAATATTTTGTGGTTATATTTCTTTTTATGGCTACGTATGTGTGTATTAAGAGGTTGTGGAGTCTTAGGGGAGGGTAGAAGGGTAATCTTGGAGAAGAGTGTATTTAATTACGATCCTTTTTTAGCTCAGTTTAGATTACTTATCATAAAATGGACAATGGTGTATTGTTTGTGTGGTGTGTGGCTAGGTAATGATTGGGGGGGGGTGGGGGGGGGGGGGTTGGTCTGCATGGGTATTATTTATAAGGTGGGGGGGGGGGGGGGGGGGGAGGGGGGGGAGGTGACAATATACATGCATATTTTGTTAGTGTTGGGGGGGAGTGGTGGGGAGGGGATTGTATTGTAGTGTTTATGGTGGGGGGTGGGGGGTGGGTGGGGGGGGGGGTGGGGACAGATAGAGGTGTCCCTGGGGGAGACTGGACATTACATTCAATCCTGGAGTGTGGTGTGAACTGCAAAGTGTCCCAGCTCTCAGTGTATTCCCCAGAGGTCAGAGCCAATGGGAAACAAGGGCCAAGATGGACAATTAGAGGTTACAGCGAGTGGTTTCTGGTGATGGGCTGTAAATAGAAGAAAATAGAATAGAAAGAAGGAACTAGTGGTGTATGTTGGGAATCATATTGGACTCGAAATAACCTAAAATAACCAGTCCAGATGATAATGGGGTGGGGGGTTATTTAATAGATTTGGTAGTTGTAATTAAAACTTGTATGGCTTCAAATTTGTTTCTTATCTTTTGCAAATATTGTATTGTGCTATGAGCAAGAAGTAGCTCAGTAAAAATAAAAGTTTGTGGTGGACAAAAGCATTATCCATAACATCCTAGTTTGCATTAGCATATGATTGGGTGTAGTGGTTCTTATGGCACCCCCTTGGGTGTTTCCTGTTAGCTTGGCTTTGTTAGCATCGCAAATGTTGTTCTCCGTTGGCGAATATGTTCAACGGCCCTAAATAGTAGGGTTAGGGTTAGTTCTCATAGCCCTGTGTTTGAATATGATGTTAGTTAGTAGTTTATTACTTCGGCCATTATGTAGAACGCAGGTCACAAGTATCCAAAGATCAAAAACATTTTACAAAAAAAATAAAAATAAAAAACTTGTGCTAGTGAAAGCCACATACTGTATTTCCATGATGGCAACCGGCTATCTGTGCTGTGCTATTCTTAAAACATCGTAATTAGGTTAGTTTTATTGTTTTGGTCTCATTCTGGCATCAAAGTTTAATTGCATTGACTCTTTGTTGCTGCTTTATGTAAATATCAAGATTTTTTTTTCTCATTTCAGATTCACAGTATATCGAGAGTTCTGAATCTCCAGTCTCCTGCACGATGTGGACCGACCTATCTCCTCACCTGCAGAGGAACAAACTGGTAATCCTCCCCTGGATAATACCTCATGTTCTGTAATAAAAGTCAGA